ATTAGATATCTATTTCTACATCATATCTAATGCATTTATTTACCTTATTTTGCCTGTTTTGTACCTACACTTGTTGTTGATTCCACTAGAGAGATATTACTATGATGGTGAAATGTGTTATTGCACAGTGTGAGTGTATGACATGTTTGATATCTTTGAGTTCATCATGGACTGCAGCCATGTGTGAAAACATGGGCGTCACAAGAAGAATGAGAATAAAGCTTAGGAGGAAAAATAGGACAAAATTTAGGAGACAATAGCTGAAGCTTCATATGCTACTCAAAACCCAACAGATACAAAAAATTAGCAAATGGTCAAACGTGGGATTACCTTAGAAGAAATCATCAGCTACCTACTCATTTGAATGATTATTGTTGTTCAATGTCAACAAAAAAGGTAGGTGAATGTAAAAATTGTCAATCCTTTCTTAGAGAGTTTTGTGTTTGTGTAAATTTCATATCTAAAATATAACCTAAAAATGTGAATGAGACTATCAATAACGAAAATTAGATTATGGCGATGCAAAAAGAACTTAATCAATTCACAAGGAGTGAAGTTTTGAATTCAGTTCTTAAATAGAAAAATTACTCAATGGTAGGAACTAAATGGGTCCTTAAAAATAAATTGGATGAAAAAGGTAATATTGTGAAAAATAAATCTAGACTTCTTGCTAAAGGTTACAATCAAATAAAAGGGATTGATTTCGGTGAAACTTTTCCGCCGGTTGCTAAACTTGAAGCCATCCGAATTTTGCATGCTTTTTCTTGTTATAAAAGCTTTAATATCTATCAAATGATGTCAAAAAAAATTCCTTTTTTGAATGGGTACTTAAAGGAAGAAGTTTATGTAGAACAACCATCAGGTTTTATTGATCATGTTTTTCCAGACTATGCATATAAGTTAGATAAAGCTTTGTAGGGTTCTAAACATGCAACTCAAGCTTGGTATGGCCATCTGCATTCTTAGTTACTTAAATATAATTTTAAAAAGAGGTTTGCGGATAATATCTTATTTGTTCAATTTATTATTAAAAATATTCTTATTGTACAAGTGTCTGTTAATGATATTATTTTCAAAGCTATTAATAAGGATCTTTACCATAAGTTTAAAAATTTGATGCACGATGAGTTCAAAATGAGTATGATGAGAGAGCTGAAGTATTTTATAGGATTTTAACTGAAGAACATTTCAAGTGAAGAAAACAAACGATGGAGTGTTTATCTCATAAGATAAGTATATGAAAGAGCTTCTCAAACGCTTCAATATGGACAATCTAAAAACAATTTAAACTCTGATGAGCCCTTTTGCAAAACATACAAAGGATGAGACTAAAGTATCAATCGATGAAAAGAGATACATGGGAATGATTGAGAGTCTCTTATATTTTATTGCTTCTCATCCTTATATTATATTTTCTATATGTTTGTGTGTAATGTTTCAAGCCAATCCTAAAGAATCTCATTTGAAAGCTATAATAAATAACTTTTTGATATTTAATTGAAATACAAAATTTAAATTTATGGTTTCCAATGAGTAATTCTTTTGTTTCGGTTAGATATTCAAATAGTGAATATGCTATTGTCATGAAGATAGGAAGAACACTAGTGGTATAATACATCTCTTAGGATATTCTGTAGTTTCTTGATCTAGTAGGAAACTAAACAGTGTCGCTTTGTTTACAATAGCGGCTAAGTATATCGCATTAGGTAGTTGTTGCGAAGAAGCCCTTTGGATGTCTTTGACTTTACAGGACTACAACATCATCTTTAAGAAGGTTCTGTTTAGATGTGACAATAAGAGTATTATTAATTTGAGTAATAGCTTGGTATTACCATACACAAACAAAAAACATAGATGATCGACATCACTTTGTAAAGGACTATATTGCTAAGGATAATTTTCAGATTGCACCGGTCAACAACTTGTAGATATTTTTACAAAACCTTTGCATGACAATCATTTCACTATATTGAGATAATATTTAAGCATTCTATCTCTTGATATCTAGTATGTTGCATTGTCATGTTGTATGTACATTTTTTAGATTTTAGATTTTTTTTATTTCTCTCTCTTTTTCTTTTTGGGGTTGTTTTTAAATTTTTTTATCTTTCTCATTTTTTAAAAAACAAAATAAAAATTTCTCTTTTTTTCTTTTTATTTTCTTTAAAAAAATATAAATCATGCCTATGTATATGTTTTTACAAGATTAATTTAGATGATATTATTTTTTTAGTATGCTGAATTGATTGTGTCACATAGGTTCACATATGATTTTTCAATCTATATGTATGTATTTTTGCACACAATGACCAAACGATGATTACATGACATGTTATTTATATGAGATATTTCATGTAGTAATTTTATACATCTATTTCTATATTTATCATGTTTTATAATGTGAAATAGTGGTCGAGAGACTTATGTTTAATTTATAGACATTTTTGATTATATCAAGTGCTTTTGAGCTCATTCTTCACTTGGCTATTGCACTAATCTTTATCTTTATATGTACAAAAGTGCATTTGTTTAAAATATCAAGCAAATAATAAAAGAGCATTTATTAAAAGATAACCAAAGATTCACACTCTTATAAAATCCACCAAAGATTTAGTGTATTTATTAAAAGCTGGTCAAAGACACTCGTGGATTTGATTTTTGTGCATATCTCAAAGGATAGCCATTCTATACTAAACATTTTATATTTAGAGATAGTGTGAATTGTCTATTAAACAATATCATTCTTCTTCTAAAATTTTATATGGTTGAAGCGATAAGGCGACATTTTGGTCATTAGTATTTAAGGTTGAGATAGTTTTAAGTTTTATAATTGCTCAATATTCACTTTAATATACCTAAAATTTTCCAATGAACTAGTATAAGTCTTTTCACTATTTGTTTCATACACGTTACACTGTTATTTAATCTTTTGTATGTGTTTTTCGACATGTTTTCTCTTGTATTCATGTGTTTTGTCATCCATTTTGATCTCTTGTGCTATTTTTCAATAATTTTTTGTGTAAACCAATGTGCTTTTCTCTCCCGTACACCTTTTGGATGATTTTTTTTCTAAATTTCTTTTGTTTGTAGTATATTCATTGGTGTACTTCTGCTTTTGCTAATAACAAAAAGGGAGAATTTAGTGGTGAAAATTGAAACACTTTCCATGAATGCATGAATACAGAGGGAACTTTGCATATTATTTGTTTTTGTATAAAAGCGTATTTGTGTTTATTGTTGTTTTTTATATATCTCAAATATGCATGTATTTCATATTTCAAATTTCAACTTTGTTATTATTAAAACGGGGAGATTGTTAGAACGTAGAGTGTACAATTGCTCCTGTTTGAGTAATAATAAACTCTCATTTTAGGCTAATAATTATTTAAGATGATATAGTACATGTGAATACATGTATAAGAAGTGTAGGAGGCGAAATAACACAAAAAATAAGCTCAAAAGCTGATTTTAACCTCCTCACCATCGATAGTCAATAGTGACTCATCGATGGTCTACAATAAATCATCGATGGTTACAATTACTCATCGATGGCTACAATGACAAATTGATGATTTTCCCTAAAGAGATTTTCATATCATCGATTGTGCATCTCAACGATTAATGGTGTGCAAGAACCCATTGATGGTTGAGAGCCACCATCGATATACAATCAACTGATAGTAGATTTTAAGTTTTAATCTCAAGCATTATCATCCCTTTGATCTCAAACTCTACCATGTTTAGGATATCTCTTTCCTCGCTTATTAGAGACTACATAACATTGAAAGAAACAGAGGGAAGTGCAAGTTCTAGGGTTTTGAATTGTGAAGAGATTTCGTTGAAGGTTTTGACACTCGGAGATTTGCCTTTGGATTCATCATTTATACTGTTCTTCTTCATGCTACACTTAGATTCATTAAAAGATGATATGTTTTCCGAAAGGGCTATAAGATCTTTTATATTTTCTGAGCTTAATTGTTATTTGTTTTGTTTAGAACTTATTTTTATAGTGTACTCAAGCCGATTAGAATTGAGGTCTAGGACTAGTTAGGACTAGGTGTTTACTCATTGTGGAGAGTTAAGTTAGATGACTGGTTTCGGATAGATTTCATGGAGCAGTTTGGTAAGCCTACTGAATCGGGTTGGTAGTTTAGGAGAACTCTTTGCATAGTGAGAAAGCACGTTCATGAGAATGAAGACTGAACATTGAATTGTTATCCGAACTACTATAAAATCTTGCGTATTCCTGGTAGGTTGTTATTTGTGATTATTTATAATTGATCGCTTTTATTTTATCTATTCCATTGCATATTCTGTGTGTTTAGCGAAAAATGGTAACAACCATAATCAACCCCCCACCCCCAACCTCTAGGCTTGCACTTCAGATTCAACATAGTGTAATTTTAAAATTTTAGGGGTTCCTCTTACATAGTTCACAGACAGCTTGCGGAAAAGCCCCCAAAGTTCACATAATTTAAATTTATCCAAGGGTTAATTTCATGGACCCTTGTCTAATGCTATAACCCTATTAAACTTCCCATTCTGCATGAGTGTTACACTTGGGGGGGCATGAGAGAAATTTTCAACTCCTTACCCTCAGATAGATTCACTAATACCACCCAGAGGTAATATCCGCAGGCAAAATCTCACCCAGGATAAATGAGTCAAGGAGAAAAAATAAAAAATAAAAAGTTCACCCAGAGGTCTCTGTGCGAAACGAGGATCCGCAAAAATGAAACTAGACTAGTAATAGGAAAATACCATTTGGCTCGCGCGAGTTGCAACTCGCGTGAGACAAAACAGGGGGGTGGGACCCACAGCTGTGAGACAAAAACAGGGGGGTGTGAGACAAAACAGGGGGGTGCGAGCCAAATAGCAGGGCTCCTAGTAATAAGTTGAAAACGATAATACATACGTACCATCCCCTTCCTTTCTGCCATGTTCAGGGGAATGAGAGAAATCATGTGAGTCAAGTCACAAATCAATACAAACACCACCGCTAAACCTATGAACAAATTTCACATCATTTATTTATTTAAGTAGACAACTTCCTCCTCCCCGATGTACAATCATGCAAGGGAACCCAAGGCCTGCCATGGCTCAAAAGCAGAAAACAGAAGCAAACTCCTAAAGAAGCGAAAGTGAATTGAAGAGCAATCAGTCGATCATCAATATCATTTGTGTGAGTCCTCCCATGAGGTCCAGTCAGCAGAGCTTCCAACGCGAGGCATGGTGCTAATCTTGGTGCAACTGTCAACCTTGAAGAAGGATCCGCACATTGTTCCCTCGCTGTCAACCCTCGGCACCGCCTTCATCTTGTTCATTGGCCTCTCGAAGCTCTTTAGTCCTCCCTCACTGCTAAACATGCAACCTGAAAATTTTGGCATTTTTTTTTCAACACATATTTTATAACTACAATAGCAATGTATCTATATATATTACGGTGTTCTTTTGAGTGTGAGAAGACTGCTTGTTCAATTATTTCAATGCTTATGATCTAATTCAAATATAACAATCACCATATTTTCCAATTAACTATACTCATTTCCACTTCCTATTCAAGATAAAACTTTGTCTATCGAGCAATAGACGATTATGAGCGACAAGTTTACTGCAGAGAGATTCTAAGCACATTTAGAGATTTGCTCTCAGGGTTCGGATTACCTCTATTGCACATATAGTCTAAACCATAACTATCCATTGTTTCGTTGAAAATTAACATTTATTAATGAAAAATGAGAATGAGTGCAAATCTGAAGAACATGATAAGTGAAATGAATCATGATCATCTAACACTAGGAAAACATTGTGATTGACAAAAAAAAGACTTTCTAGTGTATTTTGATTTTTGACAGTCAATCCTTGTTCTTACCATTTGGGAAAGGAGCAAAAGATTTCCCACAGCCGCTCTTCATAACGTTCAGATCATCACAAATCACAGCAGACCCATCACACGCGACGCCCCAAAACAAAGGCACTCTTCCATCATAACTCTACATCCCCAGAAGAAGAAGAAAAAACCCTCAATTAATGCTTTAAACCGACAAAGAAATCACACAGCTACCACAACGATGAACAAAAGACTTAAAACGTTATTTACGCACCTGAGCAGCGAACACGGAGCCGGTTTTGTTATCGTAAATAACGAAGGCGAAAGATCCGTTGAGATCCTTAAGCACTTGATCGGCTGGGTAGGGCCCACGGTCGCGAAGGGTTCTGTAGGCTTCGATGACGAGCATGGCCTCGCTGGTGGACTTGCCGCAGAGGCCGTATTGCCTTATGAGCGAGCTCAGGTTGTCCAAGCTCCCAACAAACATGCAATATACCTCGTCCAAGCTGCTGAACAACCTAAAAATCCCCAAATCCAACGAGCAGCGCATTAGTTAATACAGCCCGCGTCGGGTTTCAACTCTTCACGTTCCTGATGATACGCACCACTCTAAACTATTTTCTACGATGTCAAACAATCCCCCCAACTCATGAAATTAATTTCAAGATTAAGATATATGGTTCATTCATATATACCTTTGGTGGAAGGAGACACACGGCGAATGGGCGCCGGCGGAGGAGTTAGAAGCGAGGGCGGCGCCGGTGCTGAAGCTGATGCAGAAGGTGTCGCTAGGATGAGCGGAGTGGAAATCCCTGAGGATCTCCTCAGGGCTCTTGGATTGCCTCCTGCAGTGTTCAGGGGAGTACAGCTCCTGGGGTGGGTGAGCAAATCCCTTGTGGAATATGGCCAACATGTTGAAGATAAGAGTCTTGAGGATTGGATTTCAATTTGAAGGGGTTTGGATACGTAATCGGAGTGAAGTAATGGAGGAGACGGATCTTGCGGAGTTTATATAGAGAGAGGGAACGAGTCATAGATATCTGAGTCCGTGTTTATCGACAGCTCCGGCTCAATCCGGTTTCGGGTAGGATGGACTTAAGACGTAGGTATGAGAAGGATAGGAGTAAGCAAAGTTAAGATAGGGATAGGCTGGGGCCATCCCTAGCGATTGACAAGTTCCGAGGTTTGTTTGTTTTTTTTTTTCTTTTTCTTTTCTTTTTTTTTTTTGTTCCTTTTTGACTTTTTAAGGTTAGCTACTTAGTTCTGCAGAGGTGATAAGATAAGTTACCTACGGCTAGATTTGGGGCTTATCCATTTGACAAAGATCCGCGTCACTGTAGCTGACGCGTCAGATGCTGTACTCTTGTGCGTGGGTAGTGCTTGGCCTCACAGTTGTTATTTTCCACAAGGGATGTTTCAGCTTTTGACTACTTCTGGTGAATTGCTTCCTACGCGGGTTTATATATCTATACGTTGAGAAACTATTAAAAGGTTGGGTTGTTTGCATATATACTCCTTATTATGTATATCTGCCAATCCATCCTCTAAATCTTAGGATTTGCAGAATTACCCCAAATCATCAACTTTAAAAAAGATACCCCTAAAATCAACAAATCATCAGCTTAATAAGCAAAATTTTGCGTATGTTCTTGATAATTTTAGGATTGCAATTACAAATTAGCTTATCAAAGTTGACAATTGGTTGATTTGGGTGTATTTTATTTGAAAATTGATATTTTGGGGGCTAATTTTGCAAAATACTAAGATTTTGAGGTTATTTTATCAAATACTCATGATGTAAGGGGTATATATGAAAATAGCCATTAAATTTTTTTGAAGCAATGATGTACATTATTTGTAAAATTGTTAGCATTACTTATCTGCTACAGTGTTTTGGTCCTTCATTTCTTGGTTAAGTTCAGAAAACCCCTGGACATTGAAGATGGTGCGGAAAATCCCTTAACGTATTTTAATTCAAGAAACTACTCTGAAATTTTCTCACTTTGTCGCCCAAAGTAACGCTAGTAAGTCTAACCTGTCACATAACAAGAAAAGACCAAAATACCCCTCAACCCTAAAAAATGCCCTGTTATCTTTTTTAATTATTTTTAAATAAAACCTAACGTTGTAACTTTCAAGTAACAAGTCAAGTAATGATTAATTAATTTAATTTAATTTAATAATTAGGATTTAATCCTAAAGGGGTATCATAAAAATCATCAACACTGTCAAGGTTTTTAAACTTTAGAAGGGTTTGTAAGACACGCCAAAGTTAGAGGGTTATTCGGAACACCCCCAAAAAGTTCAGAAAGTCAAGTGGAGTGCAAAAACTTCAGGGGCATTTAGTGGAATGGAAAGTTTAGTTTAGGGAGTCATCTACAACAACCCAAAAATTTCAAGAGGTGTTCTAAAACTGTAAAACTCCGTAAATTTGAGATAATATGTTATAATTTGAATTAATTTGTGATTAATTGTGATAAGTGGATATTTATCGTGATAAATATCATTAAATGGTGTATGAGTATGATAGCAAGTGTTTTGAGTTCGAACAAGTTCATATATGAGAGAGAAACAAGTCGAAAACATGCACAAAGGCAAAACCTGCACAACTAAAAATTTGCGGTCCGGTCGACCGCCGCACAAGTCGCAGTCGACCGCCTGACGGATTTCCAGTTTTCCTGTTTTGGGTTGGTTTCAGGTTTGATGAGACCCAGTTGCACATATGTGTTTATATATCCCTTCTTTCATAAAAATTTACATCTTATTTTAGAGTTTTAAAACCCTAGCAGCCACCAAACCCTCTTTTAAACCCTAGATTTTTTTTTGTGAGAGTTCAAGAGCTTTTTGAAGTGGGATTCCGATTTGGATTTGGTGTGTGGCTTAGGGATCTATCTTGCCTTTGCATCTTTCAGGTTTTCAACAAATTTCAGGCAAGTTTCATCTCTGCTAACCCTACTCCCACGTTTTAAGTGTTTTAATGAGATTTTATTGGGTCTAATCAACTATTTTGAGTATGAAAATTGTTCTTTAGTAATACATAAGATAAAGATCAGATCTTTTCGTGTGTTGATGATTATAAATGAATTTTCAGACGTGGTTTAAGAGCTAAAATTATTTAAACAAGAGTTTTAACTTAGTTTTGATGATTCTATCGACGTTTTGATGTTTTCATGCATGTTTAGGGTTTACATATAATATTTAATATTGTGATTCTTGTTTCATGTGTTGAATAATCTTCAGAGATGTTAATGTAATAGTTGCAATGTTCTATACAAGTTTTACAACGAGTTAAACAAGTTAGAATCATGAAGCATACACAAATACAAACCTGCAGTAAGCAGATTGAGAACTTCGGGTCGGTCGACCGCCGCACAAGTCACGGTCGACCGCCAAGCATATTCGAGCATGTGCATGTTTTGAGTCATGTTGGTTGATTTCGAGGGATTTATCCAATATGTGTAAGTTAAATTATGATGTTTATGGTTTGTTAAACACCTGAGGTGTATGTGAACACAAGATATAGGTTTGCACATTGAGATACGTGCACGAACCCTTGAATACATGTTTCGAAATGGAGTATACA